ATATACTATTTGTTTGCATACATATGTTATTTTGGGATAAACGTGGGAGGTTTAGTTATAAAATATTAAACTAAATCAATGTCTATTTGCCACGGTATAGGGACCAGGTATAACGTTTTAATAACAAGACTATAACAAAAAATATACACATGGCTGTAGATGAACAAAAAGTGTGTAAAGGGATCTGCAAGGTACATGTGTTATGAAATAAGTTAATAGCTACGCTTTTTTTGTGAGGGGAAAATCATCAAATGACTTCTCCCGCCCAGGGCGGGGCGGGAGGGAGTGTCAGACTCTTACTGACTAAAAACACCCCTGTTCCTTCTCCTGCTCTGGGCCGAGGTCGCGGTGCCTCATTGCGCTTACCCCGCAACCCTGGCTGAAGTTTTTACGCTTAAACTTGTTATAACACAACAAGCTAATCACGTGCCATTTAACCCGGTGCTCGATTACTATTAGTCGATGACATCAAGCTGGTATTTTGTAACCTTAGCTTTTGTAGATAAATGAACTACCTACGCAAAAATCATTGTCAAAATTCGAACTAGTACTTCGAGAGAATATGGCGTTTAGAGAAATAAACGTATTGATTGAAGGACTAACTGACGTACAGAGATATAATGAATTCACAAACTATTCCTTAGTAACGATATTGTTCCTAACAAATTCACGCCTAGAAAAAATTAATAAATGTAATATTATTTTGTGCTTACAAAAGTGTCGTGTTAATACAATATTCCAATTAACACGTCTAATAGAAAAAGCAATATCCTGGCGAAACAGAGGAAAAAAGAGGGCGTTATCAAACTTATACGGAATAAGGACATCCGTATTCTATATTTCTTCTTATTAGGGGAAATTCGTATGCAGCATTCCCTTCAGTGTTATTATATACAGGATAAACAATAATAGTGATCATCAGGCACAATAAATGATATTCTAGTAGGTGTACCGTATGACAAAAGTGCTCGTTCCCACATAACTGTTCTTGTGTTCTTTCAGACTTTTCTATTTGACTGCACGATGGATTTGTGTGGGTGCGATGACGTTATTTTTATAAGTATTTGAAAGGTTGTGATTGGTGAATTTTAGATTCATTACAATAATTTCACAATATCAGTATTAACTATTGACTTAAAACTTATTAACTGGAACTAGAAAGCAACTATTGACGACAAATTATGCACGTTCATAGACTTTCAAACAGTATTGGACCCTACGGAATAGAAACACATATTCATGAGTACTGAACTGAAAATTAAAACTGAAAATTAAGTGTGGGAGAGCTATGCTTCGGCACGAATGGGTCGGCTCGACCGAAGTGATACCACGACCTCACAGAAAACCGGCGTGAAACAACCACAACGTTGTGTTTCGCCGTGTGAGTGAGGTTACCTGTGGCACAATCCTTCCCCTTCCCAATCCCTAAATCCCCGAAATCCCAATCCTTAAAAGCGGCTGTTTTAAAAGGTCGGCAACGCACTCGTAACTCCTTCTTTGTTGCGGGTGTCCATGGGCGACGCCGATTGCATACCATCAGGTAATCCGTCTGCTCGTTTGCCGTCCTATCACATAAAAAAAAAGAAATCTGCTGGTGAGATGTGACTTACATTCAGCGCCTTAATCATTTATTTAGGGTAAAATAAACTATAAAACTCAATTCTTTATAACTTTATTTTTTATATTTTTTAAACAAATTGAAATTCGAATTTGAATTTCGAATTCAGTTTGAATCTGTTGTTAGATAAAAATACCAAGTCAAAATGTTGCACACTAATCTTTCGTTCAATCGAAATGTTCCCCTTTACCGCCCTATTCTCTTATCGTCTTATTAAAATAAATATTCTTAGACGGAGAGATATTATAGCTCATCGCTAAATCCTTGCTAGGGAGGATTCGCACCAGTGATTTACGTTTTGGAAGCGAAACAATCCTCCTTCAAATGATACTTCAAATAGTCCTCTTATACAATCGGTTGCATTTTATTATTAATGCTACCTTTTGTATTCTTTTGTTTAAAAATAGAATTATAAAATTATGTTCGGTTTATGGTAATAACATGTCCTTGATCTTCTCAATAACATAAGAAAGTCGTTGGACAAAAGTAGGTAGGTAGAAGTCGGTAGGACAATTATGTTTTTTTTTAGAGATGTAAATCATCTGATACCCTCTCCAGCGTTGGATGGGGCCAACGAGAGTAAAAATCCCGTTCCTTCTTCCTCGTTTACTCCCGCCTGGGACCGCAGTACCTACATTAATGTACTTGCATCCACTACCCTGACATCGGCACCCATTCGCCAAAAAACAGTGTCAAACATGCAGTCATTATGATTTTTTATATTTAAATTAAATGGATAGGTCTTGCTATTAGGTGTAAAGTAGTATACATTTTTCAACTAATTAAGTAATAATAACCAAACCAAAGTGAAACTAAAAATACCTAATTTATTCCATTTTAACCTAAACAGGCAGTTTTGAAACGCAAAAATAAAAAAAATATAGTCTCGCAGATAGTTCCATAGTGAAGCTAAGTGCTACCATTTAGGCTAAGAACTCACGGAGCGATTTTGAACCGTACCCGCCGCGGTAGCGGAACTGCGGTTTTATTTCCAAACTCACGGGACCGGTTATTTGCGCGGTTACACAGCCGCCGCGGTTGCGATCATCGCCCGCAAACGTGGCGGGCGATGATCGCAAGATTGCAAGACGGGCGGTTAATGATCAGTTGAGGTCCAGACCGCCATGGACACACACCAGAAACGAGCCGTTGCGTTACATTTACTTCACAGAAGACCCGCCGGCCCCCGCGGTCCCTCGCCAACCGATCGCAAAGCGTGCGGGTGCCACCCGCAGAGGCTGCGGGTAACCGCGGCCCGCGCGATTCTACTAGTTGCCCGCCGGTACAGCGGGAGCCGCATACAACCGCGTACACCGCGGGCGTAAAACGCGTCGTGAAATGTGCTTTAATTTTTTATATAAATATTTGAATTCTACAGAAGCTGCGGGCCCGCAACCGCAGCGGACGCGGGCGAAAATCGCTCCGTGAGTTCTTAGCCTTAATAGATTCTATACTCTGTTTATCATATACCTCGAAACCCAAAGGAAACTTATTTAGTTGTACCTAATACTGTTATCATTCTTTGTATGTACTGTGCTCATGTACACAGACATTAACAACGATGTACCTTACCTTGAAAAATATTTACTTAAACCAACACATTCCAGTGTCAATTTTTCTAAATTTCCTTATCTCTTAGATACTTTTTTATTTTTACGTCTTAAAATGCAAGATATTTTTTTAATTTTGATTCGGCAAACAATTTTGATTTAACAATTAACTTTGCTTTAAAACCATAGAGGATTATCGTCATTCTTGAAGAGATTTTTTATTTTTTTGTTAAGGTAAAATCATCAAATGACTTCTACCACCCAGGGCCGGGCGGGAAAGGTAAGGGCCCCATCTGTGGTGGTCTATTGGCTCTTTGAGGCGCGCGCGGAACACTACGCCGCGCCGTATGCTCGGGTCTGGTTCTTGTCAGGCGAACTACCCTTACTTGTCGTCCGCAGACCCGGTTACAGAGATACGGCACCAATCGAACATACTGAAAACCTAATGGTAAGCAATGGGCCCTGCCCATGGAGGAGTTGACAATGTATCTGTGCGTCGTTGGCCTTTTAAAGATATGATGTTTTAGGAGTTTGGGGAATGGAGGTGGATGGGCCTCCGGTAACCTCACTGACACGGCGATACACGACACTGTAAGAGTTTCACGGCGGTTTTTTGTAAGGCCTTATAATGTCAACCCGGTCTGGCCGACACATTCGTGCCAGAACATGAACATAACTCCTCCAAACCCATATTCAGAATTATGTGTCTATCTTTAAAAAAACAATCGTCTTTACTGTATATTAATGTTTCCTATACAATATCTTTTAATTTATTGGGATCTACAATCACTTCATGTAAAAATACTGACTTTCAAGTTTCAACTTAATCTGTTCGATATTAAGGGATGACTTCAAAACTGAAGAAAAAAACTGTACATGTATAAAAAAATACATGAAGCACACTCTCAAAAATTGTTTCTAGTTTAAAAAAAGGTTGAATATTATAAATCACAAATTGAATCAGATATTAGATATCGGAAAATGTCAGAAGTTAAATTTTTGTAATTTTATTTCAAGTAACCTTGATTTGTTTTCGAGGCATCCTCAGAAGTTTAGACGAGACAAAAATAGGTACTGATAGCCCAAAATACAGCGACACAACTTCCAATATTATACAGGTGGCCGTAACAATGAGGTTGAGTCTGAAGATAATTTAACTTTTTCAGAATTGTATCGTAATAAAATTTGTGGGAGTTTCTTGTTTGTGAGTTTAGGTCTATGTGAATTTTCAGTATCATCCTTCTTATTCTCTTGAGAAGCATTTTACCAGACCCAGAACAGTTTAGTAAGTGTGGAGTCTAATTTAAAAAATATAAAACTATTCTAAATGCATGAGCTGAGTTGGATTACTCGAAATTGATTTCAAGTAATAGCTGCCTTTCCTGGCACAGGCACAAAAATAACAAAGTATAAATAAAAATTATTTTCCAATATGGTAAGTAAGCAATATTAGGTAAAATTATTGCTTTGTGTCGTATTATATTAGTATTTGGAACGGATTTTACAAAGATTATGATTATCTACTTTTACCTGGCCTTGTATAACGGCTGCTGTGGAAAGTAGAAGTGTATTTCGATAGTGGTATTCATCGGGGGCGTAGCTCAGATGGTAGAGCGCTCGCTTAGCATGCGAGAGGTACCGGGATCGATACCCGGCGCCTCCAAAGTGTTCTTTTTGTGAAAACATTTACTGTTTTTTATTTAAAGATCAGAGCAGAAGTGGTAATGTAATTAATATAAACACCGCATCCACTATATTCAGTTACTATTTGGGATTAAATAAAAACAGAGACGTGAAATTACAATTGTTTTAATAACGATAACAATGATATAGCTGTCTGTCTGTACAAGATATAAAATTAAAATTCATATAAATGTTTTTACGAAAATGCTGGTATTCCAGTAATACCTCTTCCTAATATCAGTGCGTGAATATCATGGGTTCCTTCATATGTGTTCACGGCCTCAAGGTTCATAACATGTCGGATAATATGATACTCATCAGACACACCGTTACCTCCGAGCATATCCCTCGCAGTTCTTGCAATTTCCAAAGCCTTTCCACAATTATTCCTCTTTAACAAAGAAATCATTTCTGGCACGGCTTTACCTTCGTCCTTCAATCGGCCAACTCTCAAACAACCTTGGAAACCAAGAGCTATCTCCGTCATCATATCAGCCATTTTCTTCTGTATAATCTGGTTGGCAGCGAGAGGTCTCCCAAATTGTTTCCTATCTAATGTGTACTGACGGGCGATCCGCAAACATGTTTCAGCCGCACCGAGGACGCCCCAAGCAATCCCATATCGCGCGTTATTGAGACATCCGAACGGCCCCTTCAGGCCCACTACGTTGGGCAATAAATTGTCCTCCGGTACAGCCACTTCGTCGAGCAATATCATGCCCGTTGCCGACGCTCGCAATGAAAATTTCCCATTGATTTTTGGTGTATCGAGACCTTTTTTGACTTGCGACCTTTCTACAATAAAACCTCTGACTTTACCTTCTTCGTTTTTAGCCCAGACGACTAGAATATCTGCAATGGGCGAATTTGTGATCCATGTCTTTGAACCTGATAGTACATAAGTTTTACTTTTAGCATCATACTTAGCCCTCGTCACTAAACCACCAGCATCACTGCCGAAATTAGGTTCTGTTAATCCAAAACATCCCACAAGTTCTCCTGTAGCCATTCTAGGTAAATACTTTTGCTTCTGTTCTTCTGAACCATACATGTATATCGCTCCCATAGCTAAACTGCTTTGTACACTCATCGCTGACCGGTAAGCTGAGTCGATTCCATCCAACTCCCTGGTCATCAATCCGTATGTTACTGAAGAAACACCCGCGCAGCCATACCCTTTAATAGTGCATCCAAGTGCTCCCAATTCTCCCAGCTCCTTATAAATTGTTCTATCAAATACTTCATTTCTGTTCGCTTCGATTATTCTCGGCAATAACTTCTCGTTGCAATAAGCTCTGAACGAGTCCCTTATCGCTTTCTCGTCGTCATGTAATTGTCCATCTAAATTCAAGGGATCCTCCCAGTTAAACGAAATTTTTGCGGTTTTTGCGCTTGTAGTTGACAACGCTCGAATATTTGCAGTGTTTTTACACAATGACAACAATTTAGTGGACACTGACACAGCCATTGTTAATGATTTCACTGTTCGACACAAATAAAGTGGTTCGACGCTCACAATCAGTTGTTTACTGTTTCTTGTTTGTTACAAACTGTGACACTAACGCTTTGCACTGCGTATTATTTTATCACAGTCTACACAACTACATACGTTCCCATTAACGAATGCGATTAAATTCTTCAAACGGAAACTTTTACACTGTTTTTGTGATAAGTTTGTAAAAATACATAACCTCTCCAGTGAGCGGAGACGACGAATTTATTAAAATAACGTTCCGCTGCTATCTTCATATCATTGAACTTTACGTCATTCGTTGCGTAGCTGTGTTACTCACGCGCATGTGTGGGTCAGTTATCTAATTTCCATGCGAGTATTTGGTGGGTGTGTCTACGTAATTCACAACCTTATTACGAATGGAATAAGGTGTTTATTGGCTGGTGTAAATTATGAGAATGTTGTTTGACTTTGACTTGTTATTTGTCTTATTTTTATCAGCTGACAAACATACTGTTTTTAAAATGTTTAATGATACAAACACAGGTAAAGTTTCAATATACTTTTGCTTTTCGCAAATATGCCTACTTATTATCTAACAAGGTCAAATCAAAACAACGAACATTGTTATCACATACCTACCTAAACATTTAAATAAACACTCACCTGCTTAAATTAAATAGACCTACTACTTTAAAGTATGAAAATATTATAAACAGTATGTAGGTACGTGGTACGTAGATTAAAGTGGTCTGGATAGTCTAGAGTAGGTGTCCCTTAGTTCATGACGAAGAAACAACAAATAACAAACCTTATTTTATGATTGTATGTATAATATTAGGTACACAATAAAAAAGTAGGTACATTCGGTCATACATAATTTTTCCTTTTTATAAATACTTCACTTTAAACATACCTAATTACATACCAATACGAAGATATTTTTGAAATTACATTGTTTGAAACTTTTATCTTAGTTTTTACATTAATAAAATTATTGAAAACTTGAACCTAAATATATATAAAAAAAAAAATATCTTAGCAACCACTGTTAAGTCTACAATACACTTTAAAAAAAGCATCAGGCGTCATTATGTGCGACGACTAATCCAGCGTTTTAACTTGTAAGTTAAATCATGTTTTATACGGCACATAAACATACTATAAGTACTTAGTATTTTAAATCATCACATTTAAAGGACAAAATTCATTCAAATAGGGTTGCCTCGACCGGTATGATACCACGGCCTCACATAAAACCAGCTTGAAACAACCACATTACAGCGTTGTTTTGCCGTTTGAGTGAGGTTACCGAAGGTCCAGCCAATCCTCTGGCTCCGAGGTTTTGCTTAGTAGACTTTCGAAGTTTTAGGAACTAGGTCCTAAAACTTCGAAAGTCTACTAAGCAAAAGGTTCGCAAGGGACTCATAACTTCTCTGGTGTTGCGGGTGTCCATGAGCGGTGTATTGCTTACACACAAAAAAAGATATTCAATGTTGAAGATACCTACATTTATAAGAACTAAAAGTAATTTTGTAACTTTAATGAAATCTAAAAATACCTAGTTCGTCAGTGAACGTAGGTGCTCGTCCCAAAACATCGACGTCGCTTACATAAAAACGAATTGCGTTTTTAATCTTAAAAAAATCTACCACAATCTTACTGCAATCGTAGATGGTAAACTAGCAACAATTGTTTCAGGTTCCTTTTTCAAGAAACTTTATGCATCGCATAGCAAAACTATGACAGGAACTGACGTCGATGGTATTTCCAATTCGATGCATCAAGATCAGAGTGTACAAGGTGTACACTCTGTTCTGACTTAAAAGCATTTTTCCTTTAGTTTTGCCAATTAGACACCGGTCTATGGGTCAGTCTGTTTGCTTACCTTTAGGCGAACCGTAGACCAACTCGTTTGCCTCCTAAACCCATAAAAAATATAATTAAGTTCAAAGGTCGTTCAGCCACAACACTATACATAGACAGACCTTATTTCTAAATACATAAAATGTACCTACTCCCCTAACATCCCTGTTAATCCCTCGAACTAATCTAAATGTACTTGTTTCAGCTTTAGGTTTACCACAATAGATCAACGGGGTTGGACCTGACCTTTCGATCATTGGGCTTTTATTGTTTTAAATTGATTACTTTCATTTACTGTCCAGACTGTTAACTCGTTGGTTGGTTCGAAGGTTGATTGGGATTTTTGCTCACTATTCCAATAGCATTGATCCTTTTAGAAAATTATTATGTACTAGCTTTTGCCCGCGACTTCGTTCGCGTGGTAATAAGTAAGAAATACGGTAACTAAGCACTGCAGAGCCCTAATCATAGGTCTATAGGTAGCTGCAGTATGCTCCTATAAACTACATTTAACGATATTTTTCCTTCAGCATAAACATGCAGATTCTTCGCTTTGGAAACGTAAGCGCAAAAAATGTGTATTTATTTTTACGACCTCTCATTAGAAACCTCAAAAATTGTAGCCTATGTGTTATTCTGATGTATAAGCTATATTGTGGTAAAGTTTCATTCAAATCCATTCATTAGTTTTTACGTGAAAGAGTAACAAACATCCATACATCCATACTTACAAACTTTCGCCTTTATAATAGCAGTAGGATTATTTAGCTTACCGTGTATCGCATAGGACTTATGTCGAAATTAATGAACAAGGGGTAGTTTTAGGGTAGTAATACTACGATGTGAATTTTTGTATAGCTTTTCGGGGTTGTCAAGAGGCGGATAATCTGAATGGTAAGCAATCCGCCCGTCCCATGTCGCCCCGTGCCGCCCATGTACAGCCGCAACATTAGAAGACATGGTATTGCAAGTGCATTGTCTGCATTTAAGGAGTAAGACCTCGTTTAAGCGCAAATGTGGCTTATCACGGCACATCATGCTGTCCGTCCTCTATTGCTTATGGAGTTTGTGTTGGGAGCAATGACACGACCTGCTGCCGTAATGTACGACAAACGCACGACGCGCCGCTTCTCTGGAGGACCCTCGCGTCATTTGAGGAATAATGTACCGCGGCCCCAGCTCGGAGTAGAACAAGGAACGAAGGTGATTTCTAGTCAGTAAAAGGCTGATTGAAGAATTAGGCCTACGAAAATCACACTCACATGGAAAATCACAACGTGAACATTGTTTCACGCCGGGTTTCCTCAAGACCAAAACATAGTTTTCCACACCTATTTCGGCTGCTACGGAAGACACGCATTTTATAAATATCATGTTGCTGAATAAAATCAGACATTCACCAAAGCGAACATTATCGTTTTTTGTTATGACAAGGAACTTCAAATCAAACCAATCTATTTTAGTGTTTATTTCTAGAATATTATATTTAATGGTATGTATTTATAAGCTATAAAGCTAAAAAAGCAACCTAATAGTATAATATTTTGAATTAAAACCTTAGAAAAATTAGGGACACCACACAACGAGTGTCCATTTATCCACGCCCTAGGACAAAAACCACTGCGTTATGAATGCGAACAGCGTTGCAGCTCACAAACTACAATGTTTCAGTTTTTCTTTTGGTAGACGACTAAAATATTTAATTTTAACTAGCTTACAGACGTGTTTCGTAATTTATTGTATAACCTTATTTCTATTTTCAGCTGTTTTCTCTTGGGAAACTGGGTGTTTGGTAGTTTTGGGCTATGTTAACATACATGTGTTAATATTAGGTACATTTTGTCAATGTTGTTGTTTAAGTTCTTTGACAGCTTTATGTTGTTTCAATAAAGTAATAAATAACTACTTCATGAAGCGCCTTTGGAAATTTTAATAGTTGCATTATGAATACACTACGGCGGATATAGTATGAAGATTATACGTAGGTACTATTTTATAAAGCACCTATTATTACCTTATTATAAATTTGATCACTTATTTCTATTTTGTCATCTAGGGCGACTTAGCAAATAATATGCTTAGAAATGAACAGCCTCACAGAAAACCAGCGTGAACCAACTACAGCGTTGTGTTTCGGCTTGTGAGTGATGTTTCCGGATGCCCTAAATTCGGCAACGCACTCATAACTCCTCGGTTGTTGCGGGGGTCGATGGATGGCGCGATTGCTTACCATCAGGTAATCCGTCAGGTGGTTTGCCGTGTTATCACATAAAAAAATACCAGCTTGAGATATTACAGGCTGAACTATAGACCTCCTTGACAAAATAATAATAATAATAATTTATTTATTGATTACCGCGTTATACACTAATCAGGACAATACCTAATGTCGGATTTAACGAGACCAGCAAGTAAAGTGGCCATGTTGGTAAACGTTTTTTTCTATTCCAGTCTCCCATTAACATAGGGCACACGATTTCAAAGCTCCGTCGATTTCATTGTCACTTGTCAGTGTCCACGTTTCTCCACCAGATGGCGTCACGAACAAAACACGCTAACACTGCACTAGCAGAAACATTGTTATTTTTGCGACTGTAAAATACGCCTTTGTTTTGAGCACAAAACGCACCTACAATTATTATTATTAAAATCTATTGTTTTTATTTTAAACATTAATTCCTAGACTGCTTTTACAGTGTTATTATTTATTTTTATCAAAATATTGCAAGACGACTATCTTAAAAGTCCAAAAATAAATCTGTCTAAATATTATCATGACAAGATATCCACCCTACTGTCGAGGCCATGGTGCGGAGTGAGAGGAACTGGGACGCCGTCTCCTCCTTTTGTGAAGCAGTCATGCTCGCAAAGAGAGAGGCGGCCCGCGTGAGGGAGCAATCCTCCTCCTCACGCCCCAGCAGCCGCAACTGGCGACACTACGGGCGTCGGGGATCGAGGGACGATCTCCGGCCACCGTAAGTACGGGCCTGCGGTCGGCGAGTAAGGGCAGCTCGCCGCCCGACCAGAACCAGGCCCGAGCGTACGGCGCGTAGCGTTCCGCGCGCGCCTCAAAGAGCCAATAGACCACCACAGACGGGGCCCTAAAGGGCTGATGTTCAGCCGGGGTTGCGGGGTAAGCGCAATAAGGTACCGCGACCTCGGCACAGAGCAGGAGAAGGAACAGGGGGGTTTTTAGTCAGTAAGAGTCTGACACTCCCTCCTGCCCGGCCCTGGGCGGGAGAAGTCATTTGATGATTTTCCCCTCACAAAAAAAAAAAAAAAAAAAAAAAAAAAACCCTACTCAAATAGAAATCCCATGAAAAGGTATAAAGTGACGTCCTTAACATCAAACAATGAGCATCGTCATAACAATGTAAAAAATACCTATT